TTCAAAGGAAGTGGACCTCTCTTCCCTCTCCCCTACCAGGGGCAGGGAACACCCTGTTGACCTGACAGGTGATGCCATCTCTCTGAAGACCTCTCCTCCTTCACATCTTCTTTCAGACCCATGTGTCCTAATTGAGATCCTCTTCTTAAACTCTAGACCATCCAAGTTATCCTCCAGCCTGGAACCAAAATTCACTAGACCATCTCTCTGCTGCCTCTAGAATGAAGCCCAACCCCCAGTCAGCCTCACAGCATCCTTATCACAACTTCCAGCTTCTTAGCATAGCTCATGTCTCTCTTTTTGAAGTTTTTCTCCCCAACCACTCTCCAAATAGCAAAGCTCTCTCATCTTTCTAGGCCATATTCAAATGCTACCTTTTCTAGCAAGCCTTTCCTAACACTGTCAGAAGTAGCTGCTGTATACTTCTAAGACTCACTGTTCTGTTTTTCTTTTTTTTTTTTTTGGCCTTGCAGCATGCAGAATTCCCAACCAGGGAGCAAATCCACGCCTCCTGCAATGGAAGTGCGGAGTTTTAACCACTGGACCACCAGAGAACTAACTTCTCACTGTTCTTCTTTCTGTACCAATTACACTTGGTCTTATGTGATATTTAGGTGCTTACATATCTGTATCTTACACCAAATCATGAGCACTCCAAGGAGTAAGACTGACATATCCTTCTCTTTTGTACATGGTAGGTGCTCAACAAATATTTGTTAAACTGAAAACTGACCACCGCCAGATTTCAACCCTAACAGTTAAATTATGAGCCTGTGTTTGGATAGTGATACACATACCTTTCCAATGAGATGACATTCTTTCATTGAAGTGAAGAGAATGAAAATGCTTTCTCCAAGGGCTCCAGTACTGCACTTACAATGGCTCATCAACAGTTCTACTTAGAGGTCTTACATTTTATTTATTCATTCGCTGAACACTTTTTAGGTGCCTTTTCTGAGCCTGATGCTATCATAGATATTAGCTAAGGAGAAATGAAACCCTGCAAAAAAATAATCAATTAAAAAGGACATTGTCCTCAAGAGCTTGGTGTTTTATGAAGTTTTTATGTCACAAAAACAGTGACATATGCTGATAAATACAGTAAGGGAGATGAGAAAATGGAAGCAGGATCTCTAATAAACTCTCTTCTTCTTCAAGATACACAAATAGGTAGGTAGTAAGGCTGAATAGGGCTTTCCCAGGTGGCACTAATGGTAAAGAACCCATCTGCCAATGCAAGAGACATAAGAGATGTGGGTTTGATCCCTGAGTCAGGAAGATCCCCTGGAGGAGGGTATGACAACCCACTCCAGTATTCTTGCCTGGAGAATCCCATGGACAGAGGAGCCTGGCGGGCTACAGTCCATAGGGCTGCAAAGAGTTGGACATGACTGAAGCGACTTGGCACAGCACATACGCAAGGCTGAGAGGGAAGTCAAGGGTAAGACAGGGTCCAGTTTATTGACCAGCCAACTGGCAAGTTATTTTTCAGTCCCCATTTCTTCTGCTAGAATCTTCAAATGGTTAAGACCTTTTTATATAATGCAGGAATTACTGGAAAGAACAAAACAATCTATATAGAGTTTATTTTAAAACTTTTATAAACTGTATCCATAAATACAAGGATATATTTGTATATCCGCACTCCTAAACCATCCCCTGCTGCCAACTTTCTCACAAATGGTCTTGTCATTTTCTAATTCATCCCAGATGGGAATCTTGAAATCGTCTTTGACACCTTCTTCCTCACCCTCACACCAGTGTTACCAAGTCTGGTCTATCTGCCTCACACCGTTCCTTGCAGCCTGGTCTCCCTCCCATTTCCCCTGCTTACAGCCTCACGCCATCCTTGTCACAGCCCTCCACACTTGGACCTTTGTGATAGAGCCTCCCGCTACCTGCATCCCTCAGTCCCATTCTTTCTAAAATTCAGATGTCTCTTTCTAAAAGATTGCTTCTTTTATCATTCTGCTGCACAAATTCAATTTTCCCCTCACTTTAGCAGACCAAAGTCCGGCCTAGGTTTCTCACTGTCTCCTGAACAAACATGTATAAACCCAAACACACATAACTCGTTCTCTCATTCACTGTGTCCTCACTTGGCCTCAGGGGGAGATGGTGGGAAGAAGTGGATACACAAGTGAAGCACACAGTTCGGGGGGAACTTTCTTCACTGAAACGGCCTTGCCCCTCCTATCCAGCCTTCAAGACCATGCTCACAAATGCTCACAGCACATCTTCCTGAGACCTTGCCTGATTTTTACCTCCTCCAGGACATCTATAGGGATTTCCCTGGTGGTTCAGTGGTTAGGACTCCACTCTTCCACTGCAGTGGGTATGGGTTCAATCCCTGGTTGGGGAACTAACATCCTGCATGCCATATAATTCAGCCAAAGTAAATAAATAAAGTGAAGAAAAGAACCCCTCCCTCAAAAGAGTATAGATGGAAAAAATTTAAATAAAAAAACAAAAGCAAAAAACACCTACAGCATCCACTCACTGTATTACAGATCAGTAATTTTCAAACCTGAGATTCTGACTTAGGTATGGATGCGGGGTGCGAAGTCGCTTCAGTCATGTCTGACTTTTGTGACTCTATGGATCATAGCCCACCAGGCTTTGCGGTCCATGGGATTCTCCAGGCAAGAATACTGGAGTGGGTTGCCATTTCCTCCTCCGGGGACTTAAATTTTCACTTCCACACTAAAGCTCTTTGAGGCAGAAAATATATTTCCTGTCTCTTTGTGGATCAGTCTCCCAAACCCCACAGTTAATTCCCTGGCACACAGAAAGTGCACCCCAAGTTTCACTGGTACTTGTTCAGGGCACTGGGCCTTTCACATTCTCATTTGGTGCTTAAAAACCCCAGGGTCAGGGAAAAGGGCATCCTTCTCCCAGACTGCTGGAGGGAGAACTGAAGTCACGGAAGAGCGCAGACTGGCTGGCGTTGGCTTAGGAGCCGTAAGACAACCCACAGAGTTGCCCCATCTGCCACGGGCTCCTTGGGCTGGTTTTGAACTTTAAGCCCACTTTCCCCTTCTCCTAGGAAGGAGGGGGAGGGAACTGACACTTATTGGGAAATTGCTCTGTGTCAGTTCCTGGGCTGGGGGGCGGGTGGTGTACACTTTATCTCAAGGGTCCAAGGAAGTATGGTTAATAGGCCCCCTATTTACATGTTCTACATGTAAAATGTGGAGGCTCAGAACACTCAAGTTTTTATGCTTCCTTGCAGAACACAGAAGAGGTAGAAGTGGCCAGGCAAGTTAGAAGAAAGTGATTTCACATTTACTGGAGGTGAAGTATGTGTCCAGGTGCATTGTCTTAGGTGCTTTCACCTACAAAGTCTCCATTAATCCTATCACCTTGCAAAGGAGATCTCATATCACCCATTTTAAAGACACAGCAAGAGGCTCCGAGAGGTTATATAATTTTCCCAAGGCCACACAGCTGGGAAAAGGAAAGGCTGTGGGTTGTGGAGCTGGCATTCTGGGTCTGTCTGACCCCAAAGCTCTTGTTGGTCTCACAGCCTGTCCTGTGTCCATGTCACAGGGTCTATGCCCAATTTGCATGGCACATCTGTAGCAGAAACGGAAGTAGGAACCAGGTCCCACAGCTTCCTGCTCCCTCACAACGCCTGGCCTCTGGTTGGCTCAGGCTGCTAGAGGCCTGGACTCAGGCTGTCCTTTCACTGACTCAAGTCTGTTGGCAGTGCACTGACAAGAGGAGGGGTAAGTGGGGGAGCCCAGAGCCTTGGATCTGCTGGTGGGGGCAGTGGGAGATAGGCCTGGGTGGCCTGGACCTCGGAAGGCTCGCTTCCAACAGGTAATTGGGGAGCGGGGTGCGCTTCTCCCCCAGATTTGGCGTAAGTGCTGTTGAGAAGTCCAGGGAGTGTTCCCTGGACAGTATGGCAGTCCCCTCTGCCCATAGACACACTCCCACCTTCACAGACCCTCCCAAGGACAAGCCTCCCAGACACAGATCCGGGGGAGGGGGGTGCCTCAGAGATGTGCAGGCTCAGATTCAAGGTGACACTCACCAGCACACACTCAGCCATCCTGCAACCCGTGCCCAGGCTCCCCCACCGAGGAAGCAAATGCTCACAGAGGTCAGCCACAGCATCCCCGCAGAGGGCTGCTCGTGGCCAACTCCTACCCGGGCAGAGGCGCAAAGGTTGCACCCTCCATGGCCACCTAGGAGGTTCCTTGGAGGACTGTCAGGAAGCATGGGGCATGGGGACCTGGCAGGCAGTGTTTTCTCCATCGCTGCCACCCCCAAGCATCTATCTGCTCATGGAAAGAGTCTCATGCTTAGACGGGGGCTCTGGCTCCTTTTCTCGATGCAGTTTATGATCTGTCCTTTCCCCAGGCTCAGTTCAGTTCCCTCTGGCCAGTGCTCAGGGAGGCATCGGGTGGGGGAGGGGCTGGAGGGCAGGCTGCAAAGGGGTGGGGAGGAAGGAGGGACTGGGGAAGGCCACACTCAGCTCCCGGCTTCTGGCTAGAGTGGAGGTCACAAGAAACCTCGCTTCGCTGCCCTGCGGCCGCCCAGACAGAGGGAGAAAAGGGCTGATCCAACTCATGCCAGGATCCCTTGGTCAGAACCCTAGATGCTGAGACTGGGCGATCAAGATCCAGAGCAAAGGGGTGGGGAGACTCAGGCATGGTGTGGGCTGACACCTGTTCACAGCCCCTATGGTTTGGACTTCCCCAGGTCAGGCCTCCCCCATCCACGTGTTTTTCTTGCCCCCAAATCCTTCCTGAGGGGCGTGTGTATAAGACTAGGAGTGAGGGGAGGATCAAAGCCTGTGAGGGGAAGGGAAGTGGGGAGTGGGGCTTTGGGGCTGACTGCTGCCACTATGATCCCAGAGGACATGTTTGGGAGGGGATCCCCCCAGCCCGCACCATGCAGCCCCTGTTTTAGCAGGAGCTCCCCGCATGCTGCACCCCCAGCCTCTCTTCCTCAGCTCATGAGGAGGGAGGGTAGGGCTGGCCCGGTGACCTTACCGTCTGTGGGGGGCTGCCCACGGTCATCTCCACGTAGTAGCCCTGGCCGGACTTGCCCCTCAGGTTGTCCACCATCTCCACAAAGCTGCCCCTCTGGCCGGGCTCCTCGGACTCCTCGTCGGTCTCCCGGGGCAGCCGCAGCCCCAGGGGGGCACCCCCCAGCCCGCTTCGCAAGGGCAGCCGGATGCCAGGCTGGGAGCCGTGGGCAGGCAGCACCCCGGAGCCCATCCACAGAAGTAGCCAGGGCAGCGCTTGGGCCATGGTGGGCCCTGGCCTTGGGGCACTCTGGGCTCACTTTGGCCCACGTCCGTCCCTGGGGCCTGCCCCCAACTCTGGGTGCTAGAGGTGGCTTCTCAGGAGAGTGAGCAGGAAGGCATCAGGGCTCCAGAGCCTGCAGGCCCCTCGGTCGGCCCCTGGGCCAGGAGGTGGGGATCGGGCAGGAAAGATCCTCAGAGACCGGAGGGGAGGAGACGGCTCCGGAGCCCGGCTACATCTGGCTGGTGGTCCAGCCTCAGCGGTGGTCCGGGAGAGGCCGGCTCGGGCCCCCCGGGGGGCTGGGCGGGGCGGGCATGGCAGGTCCGAGGCTGCTTCCTTGGTCTTTCTGGCGGGGTGGCGGCAGGGGAAAGGTCAGGGGCTCCAGGCTCCTGTGGCTGCGTTTGTTGTTCAGGCCACCATAATCCCAGGTCCCAGCTCCCAGCTCCCAGCTCCCAGGCAGCCCGGGGAGGCGGAAAGACTTGTGGTGGTGGCTGTCAAAGCCAAAGGGTTTTCTCTTTTCCCTGGGATCGCTGGGAAGTGTAGTCCTCCCACGGCAGGCAGCCCGGCTTCCGGGGTTGGTGAGGGGTCTGGGATGCCCTCTGCCGAGCTGGAGTCCACCCTGCAGGACCCTGGCAGCGCGGGAAGGGCCGTGGAGATGGAGTGGTGGCTGATGTCTCTCATTCCTTTAGTCCTTCACTGGGCAATTTGGAGCACCCACTGTATGCCAGGCACTCTGCCAGGCCCTGGGGCCACAGAGAGAAATAAAATGCACATTCAGCACACAGAATGATGGGACTTTAAGGAGTAGGGGTTTGGGGGTGGGGAGGGTCCCTGGGAAGACTCACTGGGAGGAAGTGATATATAATTTGAACCTTAAAGAATGGGTGGATTTTCTAAGAGCAGAGATTTGGATAGCAAGACTAAGGGATTTAGAAGCGTATTCTTGGCAGCCAAAGGAAAGAGCAAGGTCAAAGGGGAAATGCAGAGAGTGTTCTGCCTTCACTGGAGCCTGCAACCTGCAGGCAGGTGAGAGCCCCCTGGGGCTTCTCTCAGCTGAATCCTTTTGTGTCTTTGGTGCTCTACCTGCCCTCACTTCCACTCCCACTGAGGTGAATCTTCAAGCCCCTACTGATTTCTGTGATGTCAGTGAGCTGAAGGTTATGGCCATGCTCAGCTCTAAAGTGTTACCATCTCAAGAAGTATCTTTATGTTAATTGGTAAGAGCTTAAAACAAAAAGCTTTAGTGCTAAAATCGCTTAAAGGGGAAAAGTCATATGATTATATTAAAACATTATCAAATGTGAAAGCTATTGTCAAAATTCAGAAGTCTTGATTAAAGCCAAAGAGAAGCTTCTTAAACAAGATAATAGAAGAGCATGGAAAACATAACAGTAACAGGCTAAAGTGATTCCCCCTGGTGGCTCAGATGTAAAGAGTCTGCCTGGTGTGAGCGAGACCTGGGAAGATCTCCTGGAGAAGGAAATGGCAACCCACTCCAGTATTCTAGCTTGGAAAATCCCATGGATGGAGGAGCCTGACAGGCTACAGTCCATGGGGTGGCAAAGAGTTGGACACGACTGAGTGACTTCACTTTAGGAAAGAGAAGATCATTATCACCATTCTTATCTCAGATTAGATCAGTCTAGCTAATTTGGTAAGATGAGAAAATGGAACAAATGTTAGAAAGCAAAGGATCATTATTTACAAATCACATAATATGGATAGAGAAATCCTAACCAATAAGGTGATTAGACACAGGTTAAAGAAAAATCAATATACAAATATATATATATATGGGGGAACCTTGTATATAATAAAGATGACACTCATACTAAAGGGAAATGGATACATTTACTAATAACTGTTGTTGGGACAATTGGCTGCCTTTTGGGAGGAAAGAAAACTAAATCCCTATCTCATCTAAAAACAAACCGCAGATAGATCAAAGAGCTCAACATTAAAAAAACAAAACTACAGGGACTTCCCTGGTAATCCAGTGGTTAAGACTCCGCACTTCCACTACAGGGGCAATGGGTTTAATCCCTGGTTACACAATGTATTTGTCACACAATAAAGAGACTAAGGGTGAAAGTGAAAGTCACTCAGTCGTGTCCGTCTCTTTGTGACGCTATGGACTGTAGGTCACCAGGCTCCTCTGTCCATGGAATTCTCCAGGCAAGAATACTGGAGTGGGTTGCCATTTCCTTCAGGGGATCTTCCCTGACTCAGGGATCGAACCCAGGTCTCTCGCATTGCAGGAAGACTCTTTACTGACTGAGCCACCAGAGAAATCACCTGGTAAGCAATCACAGGAGCATGGGTTTGAGCCCTGGTCACACAATGTATTTGTCACACAATAAAGAGATGAATGGTAAATGTCTATAATATACAAAGAGCTTATGTAAGTCTATAAAACCCCCAACAACCTGGGAAAAATGAACAAAGAATGTGAACAGATATTTGATAGAAGAAATTCAGATGGCCACTAAACATATGAAAGAAAGTTCAACTTCATTAATAGTGAAAGCACCCAAAATAATATTTAGATAACCATCATTAATTTTTTTTTGCCTCTCACATTGGTAATATTTGATGTTGGTGAAGGTATTGGTTGGACTGTAAATTACTCCATTTTTAGAGAGAAATGTGGCAATGTTCGTAAAAACATAAAAAGTGTGAACTCTGAGCAGTGTCACTTCTAGGATCCTATCCAACAAAAATCCAACAGTATTTCAACATTATGTACAACATCAAAACTTTGGAAGCAAAAAAATGATTATCAATAGGGACATGAGACATTCAATCAATGGAATCTTATATAACTGTTATAAGGAGTGGAGTAACTTCTATGAGCTCACCCTCGAATGTTTATGACATGTTCAGTTGTTTGACATTGTAGAATAATATGTACCTTTGATCTCATTTCTGTAAAAATTAGAATGTATGCACATGTGCATATACATGTTTGCACATAAATTTACATCTGCATAGACATTAAAAAGTCTTCAGCAAAGGTGGGGACTGAAATGTCAACAGCGATTTCCTCTGTCTGAAGTGTGGGGTTCTTTCCTTCCTTCTTTTGCTCATTCATTCATTCAGCAAATTTGTTTAATGCCTACTACATGCTAAACAGTGTTTTAGGCACTGTGGACACAATAAATAAAATGGACAGAATCCCTATCCTCATGTAGCTTATGCATTCTAAGGTAGGAAGACAGACAATAAAGAAATAAAAATTATAGCATTTCAAATGGTGATATGCACTTTGAAGATAAATAAAGCAGAGAAGGATGATGGAAAGGCAGTTTGAAATTTTATTTTTTTTAAGGTTATTACTTTATTTATTGGCCCCACAGCATGCAGGATCTTACTTCCTTGACCAGGGATTGAACCCACACCCCCCACAGTGGAAGCATGGAGTCTTAACCATTGGATCACCAGGGAAGTCTCCAGTTTGTAATGTTATTTATTTTTTTAGAAAATTTTATTTATTTGGTGGCACCATCTTAGTTGCAACAGGCAGGATCTTTGGTAGGGGCATATGGGATCTAGTTCCCTGACAGGGGATTGAACCCAAGTCCCCTGCATTGGGAGGATGGAATCTTAGCCACTAGGCCACCAGGGAAGTCCCCCCAGTTTGCAACCTTAAGTAAGGTGGATCAAAAGTGTAGAGGAAACATTTCACATCTCTACATATTTTTTGGAAAAAAAAAAAAAGGTGGGATTGAATGTTCTTCTTATTATAAAGATGGTTTTCTGTATATTACAATAAACAGTATGAAAAGAGAAGAAAAAGTTCTAACAGTGGAGTTTCTGACTTGGGAGTGTGGCATAACACTTGAGAATAATTTGTTTTTTTCTCCCCCATCTATTAAAAAAAAAAATCACTCCTAAATGTTCATTCTTGACTGCAAAGGATAATCTACAATGTGTGAAATTCTGTTTTGCTTCCTCACTCACTGGATGTATTATATAGTAAGTCCTCTACATGTGTACCTCCGAGTTGTGAACTTTCAAAGATGAGAATGTGAAGACCTGATGGAATTGGAGGCCAGGAGAAAGGATGAAGAGAGACAGGAGGAAGAAGAACCAAAGAGATTCATGACACAGGAAATGGTAAGAGAATTTTGTTTATTTGAGGAGGCACTTGGTTTTTGAGGCACCAGATCTAAATGTAGAATGGTACACAAAGTTTATAGCAGTCATTCAGAATGCAATCCGGTGCCACCATGTTATCTGTGATGAGAAAAAAAAGGAGCTACTACCCAGATGCTTGCTCCTCAGAAGAAAAGCTACAACAAACCTAGACAGTGTATTAAAAAGCAGAGACATTACTTTGCCGACAAAGGACTGTATGGTCAAAGCTATGGTTTTTCCAGTAGTCATGTACAGATGTGAGAGTTGGACCAAAAAGAAGGTTCAGTACTGAAGAATTGATGCTTTCTAACTGTGGTGTTGGAAGACTCTTGAAAGTCCCTTTGACAGCAGGGAGATCAAACCAGTCAACCCTAAAGGAAATCAACCCTGAATATTCACTGGAAGGACTGATGCTGAAGCTGAAGCTCCAGTATTCTGGCCACCTGATGTGAAGAGCCAACTCATTAGCAAAGGCCCTGATGCTGGGAAAGATTGAAGGCGGGAGGAGAAGGAGACGACAGAGGATGAGATGGTTGGATGGCATCACCAAATCAATGGACATGAGTTTGAGCGAACTGTGGGAGATGGTGAAAGACAGGGAAGCTGCAGTCCATGGGGTCGCAAAAAGCCGGACACGACTGAGTGACTGAACAACAACTACCTAGACATTACTGGATTGTTTTTTCAAGAGAGTAGATAGAATTGAATTAAGCAAGGAACCAGAACCTGTGCCATCAATGTCAGGTGTGAATCAAATTGCAGCTTGCCCTCTGTCTCCTATTGCTGATGATCCTTTAGCTCTACCATCTCCCACCTCTTCTCTCTCCTCCAGTCAGTAACTCTTCTTGCTAGTTCACTTGATGCCAGCT